GGCTCCCTGCTCGGCAGGGAGTCTGCTTCTCCCTCTGACCCTCCTCCCTCTCATGCTCTCTGTCTCTCATTCTCTCTCTCGCAAATAAATAAAAAATTAAAAATAAAATAAAATAAAATGATCCTATCTGTTCAGTAATTCTAAGAGAAATGTAGGACCCTTTATGGGAAATAATTGTGTTGCTCTTTTCCAAAGCAGCCAAAGTTTTCTACCCCAAGCAGCAATTAATAGTCTGCTTTCTTAACTAAAAGCGTTCTAATGGGGGATTTCACAGAGTCTACTGTTTCAAAGCCATAAAGTCAAATCTGGAACATAATACTGGGCATAAGCCCACCTTGTTTTCTGTTTCTATGCAAAGAAAGAAAGCAGGACATAAAATCACTTGTTCTGGAAAAGATGTAGAGGAATGAAGAAGAATAAAAAAAATGCAAGTGAATACTGAATGAAGGGACACCTCGCTGTAGATGAAGAGAGGCAGCTCTTGGTCCTGGGAGACACTAGAAGCTGGGGTTTCTTTCCCTCATTCTGGCTCAGGGAGCCTCTTGATGGAGAATCTGTCTTGGCCTGGGAGAAAACCCCAGTCCCATGGAATTTGCATTTAGTTTGGGGCAAAGGCAACTCCTCACTAGGTCTGTCCCCTGCTTGTTTGCTCCCCAGCACCTGGATGAATTGTGCAGAAGAAGAAGTTGAACAAATGTGAGAGGAACCCCAGGAAGGCTAGCAAGTCCCACTGGCCCTTTTCCAGCCCCTGGCCACACCCTGCAGGCCTGAGCCAGACTCTGAGTCAACACGGGAAGGGGGATGGGGAGGGCATAGCCGATAGCTCAGGTGCCACCCTGGAAGCTCAGTCAGCACCAGATGCATTGGTTCCCACTAATCATCTGTGATACTTTGGGATTTTTCAGACTGTGGAGCCAATTGTCACAAACAGTGCAAAGACCTCCTGGTTCTGGCCTGTAGGAGATTTGCCCGGGCGCCCTCCTTGGGCAGTAGTCATGGGTCGCTGCCTGGAAGTCCCTCGTTGCCCCCAGGTAATAGCCTCTGCTTTCTTTTCTACCTCGATTTCTTTCTGCTTGCCTTCCCACACTTGGACTTCTGTTGGGTTCTGGATCTGAACCTGCTCAGAGTCCTCGACACCAAGACCTACTTCAGGGTGAGTTGCTATGGCTACACCCTTGACTCCCACTTGCTTCTCTCTGCTTTCAGGTCTCACTTCTATGCAACTCACCTGCAGCCCGTTTGGGTCTGCCTCTCGTCTGTCCCTCTGGGGCCTTGCCCATTGGACTCCTGTTGTTTGCACCAACTTTGATGGTTTGCTATAAAGCGATCAGATGTCAAATAATCACAACAGTCTCCCCCCTTTCAGTGCAGGATGAGGTGTTCGAGTTCCCTGGAGTCACTGCTGGACACCGAGACCTGGACAGCAGAGCCATCACGCTGGTCACAGGCTCTTCTCGCAAGATCTCCGTGAGGCTGCAGCGGGCTACCACCAGCCAGGCCACCCAGACCGAACCTGTATGGTCAGAGGCTGGCTGGGGGGACTCAGGGTCCCACACCTTCCCCAAAATGAAATCCAAGTTCCATGACAAAGCAGCAAAGGACAAGGGTTTTGCCAAGTGGGAAAACGAGAAGCCCAGGGTGCAGGCTGGCGTGGATGTGGTTGACCGGGGCACCGAGTTCGAGCCTGACCAGGATGAAGCAGATGTGGGTGAGACCAGACAGGATGGTGAGGTCAGTTCTGGGTCAAACTACAAGTAAAATCACAAGAAGGAGGCTCAAAGGGGCCAAGATGAACATTATAGTGAGTCCAGGAGACAGCCTCATAGTTCTGAGAGCTGAATGGTTGGGCATTAACACATACTACTTTTCATCTTGCTGTTGGCTAGTTATGTGATCCCAGGCAAATTATTTCTTCTCTTTGCACCTCAGTTTCATCATGTATAAAATGGAACCAGATGGGTTCTAAAGCTTTGTGAGGCTGCCATTTCTGTGTACTAAAATGATGTCCCAAGGATCCATGACTTACTGGGTGTACCCGATAGGCCAGTACCCTATACCAGTCAGTTTAGTTTTCCAAGCTAGAATCAGGGCCCACACTCAGGGTGGGGGAGAGAGAGTGATGGGCAGTGGAAGCAAAAGACTTGCAGATAGAGAAGAGTGGCTTTTGACAGCATCATGGAGAAGGGGGTGGTGAGAATCAGAGGCATGAGAGACTCAAGGTTCTATAAACCAGGCTTTGGCTCCACATAAAAATTACATTCATATCATCCAAGCATATGGAATTTGTTAGAATAAGCTGAAAATATAAATTGATTCAAGATAGACTTAGATAAATTTATTAGTCAAGAGTCCATAGTGTATTGAGAAGAAAGATTTGGGGAAATTGGTGTCGTATTCCTAACCTTTCAAGCTGTGCCATGGAGGACAGCCATCACCTCTCTATGGAGTCGTTCTCATAAACAGAATTCTTGGGTTAGGCAGAGATCCTATTGGATCAAGCCAGTGCTCTTTATTCTTAGGTGGTCCTCCACATTCCACTCTTTAGGAGACCTAAACACACAGTCTCCTTGGTTTCCCATGATGAGAAAAACTCCAATGACCTTTAACCCAAATTCCTCTAGTTCCTTCCTCATTGAAGACAATTAATAAGGAGGCCACAAATTATCTTCAGTCTCATGCAGTTTATTGTAAGTTCTGTTGAGCCACTTCTTTTTCCTTTTTTGTAACACCAGCTTTTGAAAACAGCTATATTGAGACCTAATTTATGTACTATAGAACATACTAATTTAAAGTATATATATAATTCAGTGGTTTTTAGTAGTCACAGAGATACACAACCATCACTACAATCTAATTATAGAACATTTACATCATCCCCTGGAGATGCCTGGATCACTCAGTTGGTTGAGCATCCGGCTCTTGATTTCAGCTCAGGTCATGATCTCATGGTGGTGGGATCGAGCCCCACATCAGGCTCCACACTCAGCGTGGAGTCTGCTTGTCCCTCTCCCTCTATTCCTCCCCCCACCCACTTGTGCTCTCTCCCTCTCTAAAATAAATAAATAAATAAAATCTTTAAAAAAAAAAAAATTTACATCATTCCCAAATGTACCCATTAACGGTCACAGCTCATCTCTCCTACCTCATCCCAGCCCTAGGCAATGCACTAATTTACTCTCTGTCCCTATAGATTTGCAATGCCAACTTTATTTTTAACATTTCTTCATTGATTATCTCGACAAATATTTCAGTCCTATCCTTCCATTTCTTCTACTGCCTGGCAAGTTCAAGCTGGGTATATAAAGGTAAATAAGAAAATGTTCTTGATATTATAACAGAAGAAGATATCCTAGGGAAGGGATCTTGACCTGGGGTCTAAATAAGGGCCTCAAGGAGTTCATGAAAGTGTATTATACTTTATGTGAAATTACATATGGACATATGCTCATTTCTGGAGAAAGGGTCGACAGCATTGAACAGATACTCAAGGGAGTCTATGACACTCCCAAAAAGTGAGAAATCACTGTGCAAGATTCTTTGAAATTGTGCTAGTCACCCCATTACCACCTAAGCCTGTGGAGGCTGTTTCCATGAGCAATGTGGCTATAACTAAAATCTCATGAAAAACAAGAGCTTCTATGGGTAGAGTCATAGGATGCCTACCTAGAGCTTTCATGATGGTGCTCACCTTGTGGACCACCTCTGAATTCAGAGGAGTACCTGCTTTTGCTTAATAAACCGTGAAACTAGCTATGAGTTCACTTCTATTTGCCTAGCACTGTTTAGAGTACTTAAACCTTGCTCCTGGCTTAGGAGAAATTCACTGCCTGTTAGATGTAGGACAATAACTTACATAAGTAGGATTTCCTGATCTTCAATAAGGAAATAGAGACAAAAATCTGGATTTTTTAAATTTAATTTTTTCTTTGAAAATTGAATATTTATATTCAAGTATTATCTTACCCTTTCATTTTTCTCATGTCATAAATCATAGAGATGGTTCACTGACTACTAGTATTCAATTTCATGTGTGCTAATTAGGGGAGACAGTATGTTTGTATATATAATGCATATGGTATACATTGTCCTTCTCATCCAAATCAGTAACAAATGAAAAGATTATTTACCCTTGTTGAGGGAAGAAAGGAAAAAGGAAAAAATGTGACAAAATTACATCAGGGTTGAATATGTAGACAAAGGGGTTTTCATATTTAAGAATTTTTTTCTGCCAGGCAAGGCAATGAATAGCATTCAGAGAAATGATCTACAGATTTATTATTTAGAATCAGACGATGTCTATGAATCCTATGAGTAAAAATGATAAACCGACAGAAAAGACAGTTATATTTGTAATCTATGTATTTCCTTTGGTGGAGTTCCAGAATTTATACTCATTTTAAAATACAAGTGTGTGAACATTTTTTGGGACTATGCATATCATTTCTGCAATGATCATTGAGCCCCTGGATGGCAGGGACAAGATGGCAGGTCATGATTACTCTCTTGGCAGTAAGAATATGTATATTTTCTTTATAATGCTTCTTCGTTTTCCCTTATCTTCTACTAAATTAAATCTAATTAACAAATATCATAGAAGGGCTAGGAAATGCTGGAGTAAATAAAGTTTGATGTGTTTACATATATCACTCCCTACATATTTCTCTATATACCTATGCAGATATGTGTGTATGTATATATATATATATAATTTTCCCTTACAAATTTTCTCAGTGCCCTTATACAAATTTACATTGTGGATTTCTAAAAGGGAAACCTCAACAAGAAGCATTTCATAGACCAGGGTCTTGTGGAGCACCTTTTAGGGCATTAATGTAAGCAAACTTGTTGGACTCTGTAGGATTTAAGATTTCATAAGCTGTGTAGACTACACGATCTTTTGATTCCCTCTAAATCTTGAGAGCACAAAGTACTGATTATTTGGGATGTTCCCTCGAATGTCACTGGTAAACTGCTTTCTAAGAATATTCTTGCTTGGTTAAATGCGACCCAGCTATACAAAAGATTCTGATTCGTATTGCAGGATGGCTGACTTCAGGCTGAGGACACTGGAGGCAATAATGTTGGCATTTGGAAGGAGCAAGATGAGAAATTCTGAAGAACACTCCAACTCAGGAAGTTATCTGAAAAGATATCTTGGACTTTTACTGCCTGGTGACACCATGGGGTCTCCCTGATTGGACTGTGGGACAGAGGATTTACCCTATGAACTACTTATTTCCTCCTCCCCAGGCCCTAGTCAGGTGTCACCAAGTCTGGGCGATGTAGTTGGTAGATTTCTCTGTGTCTTTCCGTAGAGCCATTTATATATGAGTGAAGTGAAAGCTTTTCTGCATGTACTTGATACTCGTTCTCTAAACTCTACTTTTTTGTGAGAATATTATTTCAGTATTTTGTAAACTTTTGGTGGGGAGGAGTCAATTTAGAGGTCTTTTTTTTGTGTGTGTGTGTGCTTTTTGGACGGGACCAGGACTTATTTTCTTGAGGGACAAGAAAGCTCTTCAGATCCTGGAATGAGGTGGTTCTTCTAATACAAGGAGATGTTTACATTGTTCTTACCCTACAGTTGCTATTACGATGTGTAACAAGTCATACATTTATATTCACATAAGTCTTACCAATTCTGCATCATAAGGAAACTATGACACAGCCATGAAAACTCTCCTGATATTTATAATTGCCGTGGGGGAAAATTAAGTATACTTGTCTTAGTGACTAGGTTTAGCCATCTTTCTTAGGACTCCTGTTAAGACTGCCAGTAAGAAATTTGGATGGTGATTACAAAATCAATTAAAGTTTCAGGGGATAAAATTTAGGAGAAAAACAAACCAACAAGCAAACCACTTAGTGAAATGAAAAACAATCAGCAATTCTTTAAAAACTCAAAATAGTTTTAAGAACTTTGTTAGAAATGAAAAGTTTTGGTTATAAGAGAGAACTTTTGTCCTCTTCCTAAGAAATTGCCATCCGTAATTAAAAGAATAGTCATAGAAATCCAATCATCAGAAACCACCTTGGATTAACATTTCATTTCAGCTTTTAAAGTATCAGTATTTTCAATGTTTCCCTTTGACCTAAATAGCTAGACATGGGTCTGTTTTTTATATGATTAGAGGAGAGCAAACTTAGTTCAAAGTGTTCAAATAGAGAGATTGGATTGAGCCAAAGGATGAGGGGATTGACCTGCTGCCACGTGACCAGTGAGAAATTGTACCCACAGAAGTGCACTCATTTTCATTGGGAGTTTAAATGTGTATACCATATAAGACTGAATTTATTTCTATTTGGGGCAGTCACTTCAGTAAAGAAATCCTTCTCTTTTTCCATTAGATAAAATTGAGGACAGTTCTACTTAGCAAACACTTGACCACCTGCTCTGGGCAGGTCCTGCACTAGATGCACAAAGACAAGCAACATTTGATCTCTATCCTCAGGAGAGATGGTTCCTTAAAGTACAGTTCCAGATTTGCTAGGACGGACTTAATTGTGCCAAACAGATTGAGAAATCGATTTGCAGAAACATTGCAAATTAAATGAAGTTATTAGTTGACGGAGCTTTGAATAATCTATGTAATAAGAGAACTCACCATTTGCAAAGCACCTCAAAAAGCAAGCAGCCATCCCTGAGTGTTGGCTCTGTGTATATATACTATCTATTCCTATTCATAAATGCAATGAAATACATGTTAACAAAATTAAAAAACAGAAAATGGCAACTTAAGTACATGAAAATTCTTGTGTGTTTTTTTTACTTTTAAGAAAATTCAGGAAGAAAATTTGGATTATTATTTTTCCTCTCAAAGCAATTATTTCACTTGTCACTTTGTTTGAGTTATTTGAGTTTTCATATATAAGAAGAGTTTTATATTATCAGCCTTCCTGTGACAAAGATATTAAATGTACCTCAACTAAAAAGCAAATAAATACAAACAACAAAGAAAATAAAACAAACATGTATTTGTGTGTATATGTGTATACACACACACGCACACACACACTCACACACACTACTATTATGACTTTGCTAAAGAGGAATCTGTGTCCATCATGAAGCTGCTTTATAATGCTGATTATATTATTTACTTACAACCAATGGTGACTCTGATGTTTCCAATCTGTCAGTTTCCCATTATCAGTAATATAAGTAAATTAGGCAAACCCACAGTGAAGCAAAAAAAAACTATGACATTTGGTCCCTCCAGACCTCCCTTTTGTAGGTTTAATGATCATTAACACCTTTTAGGTGAAAGGCAAAAGAAAACCAGACTCTTAACAGTGACTATTATCAGGTACCAGGAGAGAATACGTTAGATACTGCAACGGAGTCTTCCTTGAAGGATGTACAAATTGGATTGATGCGTTTTTTAGATCTGCCTAACCAGAGCGTGGCCCTAATTGGTATTGAACACTTTATGTTAGTGGCAGCCTCCCAAAGCAATAATGTCCCCAAATGTCCATGGTAACAGAGTCTCTCCAAAGGTCCAAAGGGCTTGCTGTTTAACAGTGAAGCAGGACTCTTACAGAAGGGAGCACCAAACTGTTGTTGATGGTAGGAACCTTAGCATTCCTAAAACAAACACACTGGTTTTTGACTGAGGAGGTAGATTCAGTCAAGTGAGGTATTGCCGCACGCCTCTGGCTTGCAATCTGCAATCGGATTTAAAGCCCATCTCTGCCAGTTGTAGTCATGAAACCCTGGGCAAGTCATGTACATCTGCTTGAGCCTCAATTTCCTCGTTTGAAAAGGAGAGATTTCACCACCTTCCTCAACTACCTCACAGAGCTGTTGTAAAGATCAGGTCAAATAGTATATGTAAAAGTACTTTGTAAAGGGCTTATAAGTAAGTCAGTATTACTTTCAGTTAAGCAGGGTTCTTTTCTAAAATTGTCAATAAGATCCCAGACTATGTGTTTATATGGCTGTGTACTTCGGAGGCTCTAAACCCAACATTTAACTAAATTCTGTACCCAAAAAGAATTATTTAAATGGAGAAGTATAAATGAAAAATATTTAAAGGGGTTTTTCTTATTCCTGGCACTATGTGTATGTAGGGTTAATTCTGTTCTGTTTCCTAACATTGGCTATTCTCTCTCTGTTTGAAAATGGGTAGGCAAGATTAAGAAACCAAATGGGCAAAATGTAAATGAGTTTAGAGAAATATAGGTTAACGCATAGCTAGGCTTAAGAGGTTGGCTCTTGGAGGAATTTAGTTTAATAGAGACAGAAAAGAGGAAAACAATTAACTTTTAAAATAAAAAGTACACCATTCATTTGATAACCAGAATATATTTTACACCTACTGAAGGTGGTCATGGTAGGAAACTACTTGGGATTTAAGGCTCATCAGGAAATCGCTTCCTCCAAGTTGCATCCAAAACTTGCCTGTTGAAGTCTAGAGCGTACTCAAACCTCAAGCAAAAGTATCTACTTTATTTTCTTTTTAAAATGTTAATAACACGCACATTGGAATGCATATCTCAGAAACAAAGTGACTTGCGGTTTGTACAAAATAGCCTAAGGAAAGCATTGCTTGGGAGCATTCTCTAAGGCAGCTGACCTGAAACTTCAGAAATAAAATGTCATTAAAAAAAAAAAGAGGGACAGAGCAGTTCTGGATCAAATGAGATGCATTAACCAAATGAAACACAACAGCCACATACTGCGTTGTAAACCTTGATGGGATTTTGGATCAAAAAATAAATAAAGCAGACACTTTGGGGGCAGCAATTAGGGAAATTTAAATACGGACAACAGCATCCCCCTTCTCTGCAGCTCTGATTTCCACAGTTCCAGTTACCTGCAGTCAACACCGTTGGAAGCAGGTGCTTCTCCTTCTGACCCATTGTCAGAAGGTCAAAGGTCAATAGTAGCCTAATACGACGTCACCACGTGGGCATCACTTACCTCACTTCATCTCAACAGGCAGGCAGTTTGTAATCACATCATCACAAGATGGCGAAGGGTGAGTACAGCACAATAAGTTATTTTGAGAGACCACATTCACATAACTTTCATTACAGTATTTTGTTATGTTCTATTTTATTATTAGTTATTGTTGTTAATCTCTTACTGTGCCTAATTTATACATTATACTTTATCATAGAGGAAAAAAAACATAACATCTATAGGTTTCAGTACTATCCGCGGTTTCAGGCATCCCCTGGGGGGTCTTGGAACATACTCCCCGCTGAGGGGGAATACTGTATATGTTAAATAACTTATGGAATGAAAGTTTATTCACGTCAGTGTGATAATGGCTTCATGGTTATATAAGATAACATCTTCATTTTAAGAGATGCCTGCTAACGTAGTTAGGGATGAAGTATCCTATCTGTATTTTAAAATGGTTCCGTGAAGAAAAAGTTTTTGTGTAGAGAGAGAAAGGGAACGTGGCAAGATGTTAACTATAGTTAAATCTATGTAAAGGGTCTGGATATTCATTGTACTATTTCTTAAGCTTTTCTGAAGTTTTGTAGTTAAAAAAAAAAGTAGGGAAGGGGCACCTGGGTGGCTCAGACATTTAACGTCTGCCTATGGCTCAGGTCATGATCCCAGGGTCCTGGGATCAAGTCCCGCATTGGGTTCCCTGCTCAGTGGGGAGACTGCTTCTCCCTCTCTGTCTGCTGCCCCCCCCCAATCCCCCGCTTGTGTGTGCGCGCTCTCTTTCTCTCTGGCAAATAAAATCTTTAAAAAAGGAAAAAGTAGGGGAAAAGAAATCATTACTTCTACTCTTACTGGAAATCATTTAAAAAACCACAAGGAGAATAAAAACAAGAAAGAAGTTCCATTTGCAGAGCAACTAGGAGGAATCTGAAATCCTATGCCCAACAGGAAAGATGGGCCCCAGGGCATCAGAGATTGGTCAGAGGCTTGCAGGAGGACCTGGAAGGAAATTGCTGTAGTAGAGAGATTACAAACAAACAAAAAGAGCTACAAGTACCCCTCTCAACACAAAGAGGCACATTCGAAGAGCATATCCTCAATCCTTTGTTCACAACAGAAAGAATGCATGGACCAGCCAGCGGCAGGAGCTTTCTGGACCCGGTTTGGTTCGCAGAAGAAGCAGAGCACACAGGGAATATTTGCAAGAAAACCATCTGTCTCTACCATAGCAGAGTGCTACAGTCTTTTGTGGTGGAAAAAAAAAAAATCCACAATTGCCAATCTCTGCCTATTAGCCTTTGGTATTTGAACTTACATGCAAAACCCAGGGTCGTGACAAATTTCACCTGGCCTGGACATTATCCTGGCTCCTTCCCTAGATGAACTTCCCACAAGTTTTGGATAAAAGCTCAAAATTAAAAACAGTTAAGATAAAACAAAAACCCAGGGGGCATAATAGAGGGGAAAAAAGGGTAGTTAAACAGATGTCAGAAGACCTCTCACTGGAAAACAAACAAACAAACTACATTGTTACAGATCGTCTGAAAATTGTTTCTCCACATATCAAAGCCACTTAATGAATTCCTGATCCACAGAAACCATGATAATAATAAATGCTTTGTGTTGTTTTAAGCTACTAAGTTTTAGGGTATTGTGTCACACAATAATAGAGAACTAAGGCAATATCCTGCTGGGCAATTCAACCCTAAGATTTAGATTATCTTCTCTACTGCGCAGAAATAAGTTGAATCTCTACCAGATAAAAATCCTTTGCATCTTATCAAGTTTTCTTCAAGTTAGTGTCTGGGTCCTTATCCATAATAAATAGCATAGCAAACAACGTTATATTTCCCTAGAAGAGAGTTTCTCAAACTCTGCTTGAATGACATTTGTTTGCAGATGATTTTTGGGGGGAAGGGGTGGGGGCTGTCCTGTACATTGCAGGGTACACCACTAGATACCAGGAGCACATCCTCTTCTCCCTTAAATTGTGACAAACAAAAATGTCTCCAGACATTTCCAAATACTCTCTATGGGGCAAAATTGCTCTTGTCTGAAAAACACAGCCCATGCATCAGAATTATCTGCAGGTGTTGCTCAAACACTCGGCTGGGCCCCATCCAAGGTTTCTGATTTTGCTGGTCTGGAGTAGGGCCTGAGAACTTGCATTTCCAACAAGTGCTTAGGTAATGTTGGTGCTGATGCTGCTAGTTGGATACTGCATTTGAGAATCACTGCTCTGGAAAGTCAGATGACCCTTAGTTATGCTTGTTAGACTCTACTTTAGAATGAGACCCAAAAGTCGTGAAGCCATCTTTGGCCTTATTTCTAGGTTTCCAATGACTTTTCTTAATAATTCTAGAGAAATAGAAGGTGGAGGCAGTTCTGCATAGTTATAAAGGTAAACACCTGAACAAAACTAAATCTTTCTAAATACCGGAATATAAAAACCAAAGCAGAGACCAGAGACCTTATAACTTTTAAAAGTCATAAAAATGGAAAACCAATCCTAAAATAATAAGACAGAACGAAGTTCAAATATACCTGTCATATAAATGTAAATGGGCTAAACTCAACTAGTAAAAAGATTCTCAGATTGATAAAGAAAAATCCAGTTCTCAGCTATGTATGAGACACTTGTCATTAGTGATTCAGATGCTTGAAAAGTTAAAAAACAGGCAAAGATACATCAGGTAAATGAAAACAAAGATAGAACATCACTCATAAACATAGTATCACACAAAATTAAATTCAAGGCAAAAGACACAAAAAGAGACCAAGACAGGCCTATTTTAATGCTAAAGAATATAGCCCACAATGAAAATATAATAATTACAAATATTTTTTCACCAAATTACAGAGCATCAACATTTATAGAACAGGAAGTATAGGAGATTTAACAAGAAAAACACAGAAATATATTAATGTTATTTTCACCTTTTCAGCTCATGATACACCAAGTACCAAGTACACAAAAAATAAGTTCTGACCTATGCAATCCAAAACACCAGGTGCTACGCAGTGTGGCTATAAAGCACTTGAAATGTGGCTAGTCCAAATTAAAATG